CCTAGATGTAGGTCTTCCCTATGTCACAGCCTCCAGAACTATTAGCCATATAAACTGCTCACAAGAAATGATTCAATCCCTGGTGTTCTGTTAGGGCAACACGAAAGGGACCGAGGCAGAAGCCAGGGTGAGATCAGACCTGGGTGGCTCCCAGCATGAGCCAAGCTGAAGCTGGCCCAGAACACAGGGTCAAGATCAGGGCATCAAAACCAGAGCTTAGGTGGTTCAGCAGCACTGTGACTCTGCTCAGAGGCTTCTGGGGCTTCCTGGGTCCAGCCCCCTGTCCCTGTCATGTGAGGCCTTCTGTGTTGATATGCCTGACCCCTGAAACCATTCCCATGGCGTCCCTTTAGAGAGGCCAGTCTCTCCTGTCTCCTGTAAGCACATGTCAGTCTCATCTCTCATACCAGACCCTGCCTGAAATAGTCTATTCTTACACAAAGCCTGTCCCCTTCCCAGCTTTATCTCAGGAAGGCCCTCCAGGAAGCTCTTCCTAAGCATTCCAGCCAGAGGGACATGGAATGTCTCTGGAGCCTGGAACACATTGGCCAGTCACTCAACGCAGGCATGAATTCCAGGATATGGCCCCAGCCATCCTGGGGAAAATGGTGTCTGGTGTCCTTGATGCATGGAACTGACAGTCATTGGGGAGAGTCAGACAGTAGCCATGGGAATGATCAAATTCACTGTCACAATGCTGACATCAATGATGATGGAAACACACTGGCCATCGATGTCTTAGAGGATCGACTCTAGGACTCCAAACAAGACCCTTCCTTCAAGAATGTCCAGGCTCTGACCCTTTAGCCCACAACCTGACTCTTATTAGGTCTGAGCTCCTCTCTCCTTGGATCTGAGCTCACAATGGATTCTCTTGGTCCATTTGGTGCTGTATGTCAGAATTTTTCTCCCAAATATTCAGATGCTCAAATCCCTCTTATAAAATAGTGTATTGTTTGCATATAGCCTATATACACCCCATATCCTTTAAATTATCTCTACATGACTTATATCTAGCACAATAACACATTTTATTGTTTGTGAGAGTATGTATTATGAGTGGATACACATGTGCCATGGCATGTGTGTGGAGATCAGAGGACAACTTGAGGGAGTCAGTTCAGCTCTCTCCTTCCATCACGTGGGTCCTGGAGATTGAACTCAGGTCATCAGGCCTGGCAGCAAGCACCTTTACCTGCTGAGCCATCTTGTTGGCCCTATAAACAATTATTATATTGTATTATTTAGGAAACAAGAACAAGAAAATAATCTGTATATGTTGGGTACAGACAAAAGTTTTGAATATTATAAATATAGGGTTGGCCTAATCCATGATGTAGAACTCAGTATTCTTAGAGTAGGCAAGCCTCTTGGGCACAGAAAGTGATTCAAGACACTTAGGAAATTCTGGAGCTGAAGAGAGCTGGCCTTGCTGGGATGGAGGAGAAAAACTAGGGGGCTGTTGTGGGGGACATTGGAAGTGGCCCAGAGGAGAAGCTGCCCCACGTCTCATGTGCTGAGGACCTGGTGACAAGCTTGAGTTGTGGTCTCAAAGCAACAGGAAGCCACCACTCACTCTGAAAGCATGTTGTCACATAGCTACACTGGGAGAATATCTCTCTGACAGAGTGGGTTGAAGGAGTCAAGACCAGATCCCAGGACACCACTTCCGTTGAAGTGGTAATGAGAAGTGGATGTATTTAAGGAGCAGCACCAACAAAACTTGGGAGACAAGAAAGAGGAATGCCTAGGATTCTAGCAGAAGTAAGTGACAGGTCGCGGCATGTCTAACCTTTTGACATTTTGAAACGACGTTATCTTCAAAGCAGGTTGAACATGCCTGATATAGCATGCAATCAACTGAGGGAACCTAGGCAGCAGATGGAGGAATGGGGAGAAGGCCATGAGCTCATTTGGGGATGGTAAGCATGGGTTACCAGTGGGTGACTCACCATGGGGTTTGGCAACTCCATGGAAGAACCTACACAGAGCACACAAGTCACCCAGGACACTGAATTCCAAGTGTCCCCATAGCCTCAGTCCCTTTCCTGAGTCCCTTCTCCTACCACCTCACTCCAACTATCCTCAACACATGTTCAGAATGTGAAAGAACACGTAGTGGTCTGTGCATAACTTCAAGATTAGAAAGCTTGGGTTTAGTGGGATAACTAACCGGGATTCTGGCAGAGGACAGAGGAGAAGGAATAAGAACAGGCGTGTGTGTGTGTGTGTGTGTGTGTGTGTGTGTGTGTGTGTGTGTGTGTGTGTAACTATTTGAGTTCCATTTAGGACTCTGAAAGCCTGACGACACCCAGTAGCAGCGTCTTACAGGAACTAGGCATATGCAGAAGCAGGGATCTGGTAGGAGGTGCAGGCATCAGTGTGGTATGTTAGAATTCTGTCACTGTGACAAAATGCCTGAGACAATCAATGTACAAAGAAAAGTTTATTATAGCATGGACTAGCATCATTTGTTAAAATATACATGCTCTGTTGCACAAAATCGTGAGGATAAATAATAACGTATCACAAATTTCAAAATTGCTAAAGGAGCAGATTTTAAGTGTTTTCAATGTTTAAAATGATAAGCATGTGAAGCGATAGATTTCATAATTATCCTGTTTTAGTCATTCCCCATCGTAAACATGCATCAAAGTGTCAAGCTGTACCCTGTAAACACTCAGTTATTATTTGATAATTTTTAAAGTGAGCATTGCTTTGACACCAAAGACTTGGATTCTGTCTCCCCTGAGGGAGCCATCATTTTAAAACAAAACAGAAATGAGGCAGAAGCTGCAGCTGTCTGCTCCTTTGAGCGTCGCTTTGCTATGTCAAGGATGCCAATAGCGCCACCTGGCGGTCTTCAGGGTAGTTACACCACCTTCCAAAAGGAGATTTCCCCTTCTTGGACCTATACTATCTCTTCTAAAATTCCCAACACTTCTGCAGAGAGACTCTCAACTTTGTTTCATTAATGGGGAAAGGCGCAAACTGTTGAGGTGACATTTCTAAAAATCCCACATTTGAGATGCCGAAGAGAACTAAATCCCAGCTCTGTTGTCGGTGCCAATGGCGTATGAATCTGGCTGATAAGTAAAAACCACGCAGGCAACCTTTGTGAACTGGAGGTGAGGCTGTTAGGACAACTCACATGCAGGTAGGATTTTTTGCCATTTTTTATTGAGCTATGCATTTTTCCCATCCCCTTTCCCTTCTCTCTTCTCCGCTCCCATGCTCCCAATTTACGCAGGAGATCTTGTCTTTTTCCCCTTCCCAGGCAGATCCATGTGTGTCTCTCTTAGGGTCCTAGGTAACAAAGAGAATTTTTGGCTTCCTAAGCAAGCATGTACTTACCATAGGTGAAGATTGGAAGAAGCCATCCAGGGTAGGGGGAGACCTGGACAAGGAATAGGCTCTGAACAACCCTTCAGGCCTTATTTTTATTTCATTATTTTTTAAACAATATACTACAACAATCAGTTACACAGTAATTACATTGTATTGGATACTGTAAGGAGTCTAGAGCTAACTTAGTCTATGGGAGAATATACATGAGTAAACACGTGTGTGCGTAAGTGCACGTGCTTGAGAGAGAGAGAGAGAGAGCGCACACACACACACACACACACACACACACACACATGAATTTATATGCCATTTTATAAAAGGGCTTAAGGTCTCTTGAGTTTGGGTGTGGGTGAGGGGTCCTGTAACCAACCGCCTGCACTGTGGATGGATGAGTGTGTACTTTTGCACACACATGAACTTACAAGCATGGTCAAAAAAGAAGGGGAAACACCAGCAATACCTGAGCGGCAACTGACTTAGCTGTGTGCATTAATTTTCTGCTGTTTTCTTAAAATCTCACAGAAATGAAAGTCCAGGCATAAAGGCCCTAGGATCCCCAACACAAAGTAAAGGGGGTGCCAACAGCTAAAGGACCCCACAGAGATGTGGAGAGTGGGTAAGTAGGGCTGTGGCAGCAGCCTTAAGGTCTTCAAGGCCATCCAACCAAGCCCAGTTCTGGCATCATTCCCAGCTGCCTGGAATGCTCAACAATTGCTGCTTGGGAGAAAGCTGTCTACTGCCTGCAGTCCTGCTCTGTCCTGTAGTGACAGTTGTCAGTCAACAAATCCTCCCCCAACATCCTGCTTCTTTCTTCCACATAAATACAAACAGGAGGAAGACAGCCAGCCACTGACACTTGTGGAAAACCAGCTTCCTGAAAAAGGAAGGACAAAGGGAAGGGGGGACCTCAAAGCCATGACCCTCACAGTCATGGGGACAGATCTAGAAGTGTAGAAAATAAATAACAAAGAAAGCTAATAAGCTAATTAGAATCCACGGAGAGATGAGAAGAGTGACGCCAACTATTCTGTTTAGCTAAAAGATGTTTGCACCTTAATTTTTCTCTCAGCATTAGTTCTGAGAGTTAATCATCACAAATAAGTCAAGCAGTTAATTTGTTCCACATTTCTTTGTGTTCACGTTTATTATGTGCTGAAGGGCATGTAAGTTGACTCTGGGTTCTTTCTGTGTGTTTGTTTCTCTGTGTGCTTATGATGGCATGTGTGTCTGTGGTGTGTGCACATGTGGAGACCAGACGAGGACTCTGGGTGTTCTGTTCTTTAACAGTCTGCCTTATTATCTTGAGAAAGGGTCTTTCACTGAACTTGAAGCCAACCCAGAAGGAAGCACACCCTAGCAATCCTTTCCCTCCCATGTTGTGGATTAAATGTAATTCATAGATGTGAAACCTTAGAGCAGCTATGGCTCCCAAGTTGGGGTGATATTGTACTCAAAGGGCTATTGGCAACATCTGAAGATATTTCTGGGTAAAGAACTGGTAGAGATGCTACTGGCATTCAATAGGTTAGAGACAAAGGATGCTACTAAGCATTCCATGACGTACAGGGTAGCCCCTACAAGAAAGATTTTCCAAAGCCCAAATAGTGGGAGTGCATTACCCAATCAGTAAGTACAAGTCCTTGCTTCAAGGCTTCAGTGGAGGTTCTTTCCTTTATTATCTATATAACACAGCGAGTCCCTCAAGACTATCATTCTCTTCAAGAGTATGCAGGAAGCTATTACCATAATCACTTTACTCAGCCATAGGGACATCTAAGTGAATTAAAAAATGTAGGAGTTATTCTATGTTTCCCTACCACGAAGCAATAACTGAGAAATTGATACAAAATGTAGCTTCACTATGCTCCATCTTTATCTTCTTGCCTCCTACTCATAAGTCTAATGCCAGTCAGAAGTTTAAGTCTCACAAGTAATTATTTTCTTCTTCTCTTCTTCTTTTTGCTTTTTTTTTCAAGACAAAGTTCCTCTGTGTAGTTCTGGATATCCTGGACTGTAGACGTTGAACTCAGAGATTCACTTACCTCTGCCTTCTGAATGCTGGGACAAAAGGCAGGTGCCTTTATGGATGGCATAAATAACTATAAGAAGAAACACAAGGTGTAATAATAATTCCTAAAGTAATGGCAATTACAGTGTTGCATGTTCAAAGTTCTTGAGTACACCCAAAAGAAAACCCAGGAAAGGCCAGGCAGTGGTGCCACTTGCCTTTTATCCCAGCACTCAGGAGGCAGAGGCAGGCGGTTCTCTGTGAGTTCTGGTCTACAAAGTGAGTTCCAGGACAGTCAGAGCTGTTACGCAGAGAAACCTTGTCTTGAAGAAACAAAAAACAAAACAAAAAATCCAAACAACAAAACCCCAAGAAAACCCAGGAAAAAATTGTCTTGCTAAGTTTAAAAAAAAAAAGACAATTAAAAATAAGAGATGGGTTTTCTTTCACTTGTAAAAAAATGAGGAGGACAATAATTACCAAGAGAGTAGGAGGAGAAATTTCATAATAATGAAATGAAACTAATGAAATACAAACCAAATGTGACCTCAATAAAAGCTGCTTTGAAATTCCAATAAAAACAAAAGAGACAAAACTTGGACTCCCAGTATTTAAATGGAGAGTAAATCTAGAAGCAGAAGTGTGCAATATTGGTTTGAGGAAAGGACTGTGGGCACGGATACGCGGGAAGACGCCTGGGTGTAGAGTTCTGGGTGGAACACTGCTTCTCATAAAAGGCCTGGGTGCCAGCTACAGATCTATAAAAGGATTCTGCAAATTCTGTTTAAGGTGGAGTGTTGACTATGCTGACACAATTTCAGTTGTTTTTAAAAACCCCATGAAAATACAATAAAAGAATCAAGACAGGAGAGCAACCCTCTCCCCAAACAGGGAGAATGGAAGGGGGAAAGCAAAAATATAAAGGCTAAAAAGCAGACACCAGTCATAATTGTCTTCGACTCCAGATCATATAAACAAAGCTGAAAAATCAGATTAAAACTTCAATATATTTGGTCAAGGGAAATGTCTCAGTGGGTAAGTGTGAGGAGGTAGGTTCAAAATCCCCAGCACCCATGTAAAAAGCTGGGTGTGGCCCATTCAAGAGTCTATGACACCAGCACTTTGGGGGACAGACATGACATAAGGGTTAGTTGGCTGCTGCCCTAGCTCCAGGTTTAATGACAGACCCTATTTCAATGGATTAAGGCAGAGAGTGAGAGAGAGGACATCTGATGTCCTCTTTTGATCTCCGTACTCACACACTATTATGCAACAAACATCACACACACACACACACACACACACACACACACACACACACACACACACACACCTTCTACTACAGCCAGGACTATATAATCCACTTGCATCAGCAGAGTGGTAAAAATCACTCACCATGCCATATCAAGGATCTCAGTGCCTCAGACCCGTGGGAGCAGCAAAGCTTTCCATGGGTGAGGTTAGAGAAACGGCAAAGCCTTCCTCTGGTCGGAGTGTGCATGTTGACAGTGAAGAAAATGTCCAGTGTAGCTTTCTTCTTCCAGATGGGCTGAAGACTGCTCCATCGCAGAGACTGTTCCTACAGAGACTAGCTGAATCTGCCTCCTTGTTCAGTTGTATGCAATGTTCAAACATCTCCTTGCTATCTGTGTATATAACTCTGCCTCCCTGTTTAGCTCTATATAATAACCCTCCTCCCTGTCCAACTGTATATAATAGACATGCTGAGCTTCCGTCCTGTTGTGGATCCTCCATCAATCAGCACAGCCCTCCTGACCCCAGTTTTTCTGTACCTGTGTCTGCGTGTCCGTATCCTTCTTTATTCTCTCACCATTCCTAGTCAGGTTTCCAGGACCACGCTGTATAAGGGCATAGAACTGTTCCACAGCCAGAGCCCTAGCTATGGCACTATTTGAGGCCACTGTCTTCAGCAGCAATGGTAGCAGAACCTTGGCGGGTCCCAGACCCTATTCTACAACCAAATAAACCTAAGGTGGTGCCATCAGCAAAGCCATGTCTTCTGCTCTCCTCACAGTGGCATTAAGAGACTGCAGATTCTTCCTCTCTTCTCCCAAAGGCCACCTAGAAGAGAACCAAAGTAGATGGGTGCCTTCTGCTGTCACAGATGACAAGAGCAAGAACAGAATGGGGTTGGGAGAGCAGGTTGCATGGCAATATCAGAAAAACAAAATAGACCAGGACGGCACTGCAAGAGCTCAAAAGCTAAGCTCTCATCAGAGCTAAAGCTCACAGAGGAAGACAGAAGTACATCCTAACCTGGATGAGGACTAAGGGTTCTCTCAGCCAATGACTAAAATATGAAGAGTGCAGCAGAGATCACTCATCGTACCCAGAACCGGGAAAGCAACAATTTGCTTTAGATACGACAACCAATGCCAGAACTGACATGAATCAGATGTTGGGATGATATGACAAGGAATTTAAAGTATCCATCATAAAAGGACATCAACAGTCATTTACAAATTCTACTGAAACATTAAGGAAGAAAAAGAAAAATCTCAGCAAAGGAAACACTTTAAAAGATAGAAATTATAAAACTGGAAAATGCAAAGAGTCGCAACTTCAAAGCTTACAGGACAGACTTAGTCACATGAAGATGACAAACACCACGCACTGTGCTTACTTCATTTCAGTTGTTCTCAAAACCCCATATGGGCGACAGGGAATCTTTAAACTTGAGGACAGACTGAAGGAAGTTACTCAGTCTGAATAACAGGAAAAAAAAAACAGACTGAAAAAGAAAAATAAGCTGAGACTTGAGGTTTGAAATCAATTTTCCTTACCTGTTATTTCCCTGTCCATGGTTTCAGTTACCCTGTGGTCAAGAGCAGTGTGAAAACATTTGGGAGAAATGTCTTAAAGAAACAGCTCATAACTTTTAAACTACATGCCATTCCAAGTGGCATGGTGAAACTGCATGCCACCCTGGTCCAGACCATCCAGGGTATGAAGCATTCCCTTTTCATATCCTACCTGTCTGCTAGTCACTTAGCAGATATTTTGCTTATCAGATCAACTATTGTGGTATTGCAATTCAGGCAACCCTTACATTAATTAGTAATGGCTCCAACATATAAACTTGTATTATATGATTTTGTTATAACTGTCCAATTTTGCTGTTCGTTCTTTTATTTACCTCATTGTGCCTAGTTAACACCTTGATTTCTTTATAGATTAAGTTTTACCGTAGAAATGCATGTATAGGAGGGAAAACACAGTAGATAAACTGTAGTTTTACACATCCATGCTGTAAGTCTTGGAAACACAACTCTGAAGAAAAGGAGAAACTATATAGGAAAGAATTCATATCATAAGGATTCTGGAAGGTGACGACAAGACTGTGGGAGCACAAAAGTACTCACTGAATGACTGACTATTTCCTTGGTGAAAAATGTAAATCTGCAGATCCAAGAATAGGAGTGACTCTCAAATAGAAGTCCTAAGAAACCCGTAAGACACATCGTAATTAAACTTCTCAAATCAAAAACAACTTAAAAAGTTTAAAGCAGCTGAAGAGAAAGGGGGCAACCCACAGAAGAGCAACAATTAGAGACTGGTAGGATTCTCATCTGAAATGCCAGGCAGGAGGAAGTGACGCCCTTCAGGTTTCTGAAGAACCAAGATTCCCCAGACCATACAGGTCAAATATTTGTTAGGCGACTCAATGGGAAGAGGACACCCTGAGCAAAGGGGAAAGGGAATGCACTGCTGGCGTGTTGGGGGCCAAAGTCCCTTGTGCCCACAGAGCGCTCGGGAACTAGTAATGTTAAACGCACAGGGGCCTCTCTTCAGTGGAGGAGATAAAACACCCGTTTTCTCACCCAGAAGGCTGGGAGTGGATACTGTTAATGACCTGGTAACTTTTGACCCTCTGTGGAGGCAGACCTCATACAAATCCCCCAGAATGATTATCCCAGACTTTCCCTCACTAGCTCCCAGTTAATAGAACCCATCCTTGGGGGTGGGAGGGATATCATGTACTTTATAGCCTGCTGACCTCTATGCCATCTCAGTCAGAGACCACACTAGATTCTAGGCCCTTACAGCTGCAGAGCCCATCTTCATGGCCACGTGAAGGAGTCTGTAAGTTGTAACACCTTGAGCTTTACTGTGCACCTGGAATTGGAACGATTGTTGTCTGGAAACCTGGAATCGGAATTATTGTTACCTGAAAACTTTTTTTCCAAATTGTACTGTTTTTTAAATTTGCTGGCAATGCTTGACACTAGACTCCCCAAAGTCTGATCCAGGATGGCTAAGTCAGTCTGAACTGAGTTTTCATTCTCATCTCTTTTGGGGCTTGCTTCTTTGCTTGGGTCCCCCTTGCTGGCAGATCTTATATGTGACTCTGTGTTACCTATAAGACACACAAATAAAACTGTTACAGTTTGAATATACGTCCCCCACAGGCTCTTATAGTCGGGGCTTGGTGGCTGGTAGGCTTTGGGGAAATGATTGGATCCTAAGGACTCTGGACTAAGCAATGGGCTTATCTTTCGTGGATTCTCAGTGTGACAACATTGTTGGGAGGTAGTAAAAGGATCCATTATAGGGAGTAGGTCATTGGGTTGTGCCCTGGAAAGACGTATCTTGGTCCCTTACTCTTCTTTCTCTCTTCTTAGCCACCATTATGTGGATGGTGTCCCCTTCCTCATGCTTGTGGTGGGCCTCATCCCAGTAGCCATACACCGAAACCTTTGAAACCACGGGCCACTGTGAGTTACCTCAACTAGCTTCCTCATGGCAACAGAAAACTGGCATAGTCAAGGAAATAAACAGCTGGGAAAAGATAAAGGAATCCCGAGCTGAGATGGAGTACTTCGCCAAATGTAAGATCTGTGCTTCCCTGATTTTTATGAATCAGTTTCCCTCTCCTACAAAGACAGTGCAAAAAAGAAAACCACAAATCTATATCTCTCCTAAACTTATGTAAATACATGAATGAAAACATTGGCAGATCAAATCTAAGAATGTACAAAAGGAATGACATGCCCTGACTGACTGGGTTTCATCCCAGTTACACAAGATGTTTCAGTATTTGAAGATCAACAAGGAAAGTCATATGAATGTGTCAACCTAAGCAGAAGAGCCATTTGGCTGACGACATCATGTATTTGTGATAAAACATTCAAGATTAAAAACTCTGTGTCTGTGGGCTCAGTTGGTTAAGTGCATGCTTAGTGTATTAGTCAGGGCTCTGAGGAAGAACTGATTAACTGAATGAATGAATGAGTATATTAAAGATTTATTTAATTTTGTGTATGAGTGTTTTGTTTGAATTTATGTCTGTGTACCACGTGTGTGCTTGGTGCCTGAGGAAGTCAGAAGAGGGAGTTGGATCTTATGGTACTGGATTTATGGACAGTTTTGATTCCATGTGGATGCTAGGAATTAAAACTGGATCCTCTGCAAAAATAAGTACTCATAACTGCTGAGCCATCTCTCCAGCCCCAAATACCCATATATATATATATATATATGTATATATATATATATATATCGGATTTATTAGAGTGGCTAACAAACCGTGGTTTGTCCAGTCAACAATAGTTGTCTCCTGACAGAAAGGCCAAGAATCTGGTGGAAGAGGGTTAGAGAGATGGTTCAGAGATGACTGGAGAGATGGTTAAGAACACTAGCTGGTCCTCCAGAGGTCCTGAGTCCAATTTCCAACAACCACATGGTAGTTCACAACCATCTGTAATGAGATCTGGTGCCCTTTTCTGGCCTGCAGGGATACATGCAGACAGAACACTTTATACAAGACAGATAGATAGATAGATAGATAGATAGATAGATAGATAGATAGATCTTAAAAAAAAAGAATCTGGTAGTGGGTCAGTCCACAAGGCTGGGTGTTTCAGCTGGTCTTTTAATCTTTACTGGAATCCTGAAGTAGGTTCTACTACCAGCAAAGGAATGCCTCAGATGAACTTGCCAGAGAAAGTGAGGGCAAGCAGTCAAAAAACAAAACTTCATTCTTTGATGTTCTTTATATAAACTGCCACAGAAGGTGTGGTCAAAATTGAGGGTGTATCTTCCAACCTCAAATGATCCAGATTTAGGGTGAGTCTACTTCTCATCTTGGGAGTAAGTACTTTTATCTGGTGATTAAGCTTGAAGTCTATCAATAATTAACCCAAATGCTTGTCTTTTAGGGGTATGATTGAGGTGGGAACCAGGGTAAACCACACTTTCATCATGTTTCTCTGGATTTTTTGTTTGTTTGCTTGCTTTTGTTTTATTTTTTTGTTTTTGTTTTTTTTGAGACAGGGTTTCTCTGTGTAGTCCTGGCTATTCCAGAACTCACTTTGTAGACCAGGCTGGCCTCGAACTCAGAGATCTGCCTGCCTCTGCCTCCTGAGTGCTGTGATTAAAGGCATGCACCAACACCGGCTGGCTCTTTTCTTTTTAATACTTTATTTAACTTTATTTTATGAGCATTGATGTGAGGGTGTCAGATTCCCTGGAAATAGAGTTACAGACAGTTGTGGGCTGTCATGTGGTTGCTGGGAATTGAACTTGGGTCCTCTGGAAGAGCAGTTAGTGTTCTTAACCACTGAGCAATCTCTCCAGCTCTCTTTTCTGTTCTTTTTAAAAAAAGTTTTCCCCCCAAATTCATGACTAACACTTTTTATTACTTATTTATTTATAGAGAGGATCCAAGTCAGAGCCTTGTACACAATGGACAAGTGCTGCAACCAGAAGTGTCCTCCAAGTCCCTAATAACTTTTGTACAGAAATGGAAAACTAGCTTAATTCTTGGAAACTGTGACATACGTATGGACATCACAGTCATTGGCATCTTACATTTGTATGTATGTACGTATCTATCTATCTATCTATCTATCTATCTATCTATCTATCTATCTATCTATAAGCAAAACAAAGCTGCTGCCTTGTCCCCTTCTGGTTGATCCTCTAAGGTGAGTCTTCAGGGAGCATGTTGAGCTCAGAATGGAAGCTCTGTTTCCCAGTCTATAAGGTTTCCAGGTATCTTCTCCCAGTTCCTCCTACTAGGAGTGAAGACAGGACAAATGAGGTATGTTGAGAAGATGTTAGCAGGGGGTCTCTGTGTAGGAGACTTGACAAAGAATAAACCTTAGGTTTCTGTGTCTTTCTGCCTCTGTTTCTCTCTTTCCCAACAACATCATCTCATCTCCATTTTCCCACTCTGCCCATTCTCTCTGTTTGTTCCTTATATTCTTTAGGTGAGGTTGGAACCAGCTCAATTACATGGGATGGGGTAGGATGGGTTGGAATGTGACTTCTTCTGGCCAGGGCACTGCATTCCCCTGAACATGGTATTTGGTTCAGGAATGGAAACGAAAGCCAATCCAGGACAGACTCTTAGAAGATGGTGTTTACTTTGATCCAGTATGGCTCCTGGTGATATGGTCAC